CTGTAGAACCTGCTCTCCCTGATTCACTTGTGCATGTCCTTGTAATTGTTTTTCTGAAGCTGGAATGGGCAGTGTTGTATTTCTCATCACATGTTGGTTTATTGCATCACGAATAAGATTGATGTTCTCAATCAAGCAGGGACAGATTAGAGTGAAATATGACAGAGAAAACACTTGGTAAGGGCTGGAAGTTATCCATTGTATGTATTGAGGTCTCTTCCGCATATGATTAAAAGCAGCCCAATGACAAATCAAATAGAATAAGAGTGAACAAAGTCTAGTTTGAAAAGTAGGTCTTTACCTTGGAGTTTTCATTTGCTTTTAACATATGTTCACTATATCAGTTTTCCACATTTGAAAGCATACTAGAATATGCTGGGTTTTATGGGTGATAAAAGAACTGAATGCAAAATGTAGGGTTCTTTGGGTTGCCAGTTCATGAATCAGTGCTAGTGCAGCTTCTGTAGCTCAGGGAGTGAATTGTGGAGGTTCTGAGCTTTCCCATGAGCCATGATCTGTCCATATACTGAGAATGATACAAACCTGTGTTGTCTGTATGCAGGTTAAGGCACTTGTAACACAAGTTCAGCTGTGATAGTAGTTAACTGTCTGAGTTAACAGTAAGAGCACAAGGTACTTTTTCTTTAAAAGCTTTTTTTTTGTTTGTTAATTAAAAAAAAGTTTAAATTAAATGAATATGCAATATTACCCTACTTGTATTGCTGAAAAGTTTTCTTTCTAAGACAGGTCCAAACTTTTGTATATTATAATTTAGTTACTGTCAATGACCTGAAAATGAATGACTTGAAATTTCACATTAACAGCAGTTATTATTAGAGCTGTTTCCTGATCTTGTTGTTTATATAGTGTTAGTGAGATGTTTTAGTGTGTTACAATTTATTTTCAACATGCACGCTGCTTACAACATTAACTGAGGAGTAAATAATTGACCATCTGTTCTATCGTCCCACTTAATTGCCAGTTCCTCGCTTGCCAGTTTGCATTGTTGAAAGGTGAGAACCCGCTAACACGCCAGACACCCACATAATGAAGCTTGGGCGGCTCTGAGGGCTCAAGAAGACTGGGGTTAGGAGGAGATAGCTTTAGCACCACATCATGACCCGTCCATGCCCTCCTCTTGGCCCCCTGTCTTGCGGCGGTCTAACCTTTGACTTTTGAGATGCTGTTAAGGCTACAAGAGGCTCCAGTTCACAGGTGGAGGTCAGACAAATCATAGTGTGCACAAACCAACATCAAATATTATGTCCTGAGTCAAGGGCACATATACTGTGTGTTGAGTTTGATAACAGAAAGTAAAGTACTATAATGTCAAGGTTATGAGGAAAAACGAACGACCACTGGTTTATCACCTCCAGTGTCAAATAAGCGATTACAATATAACTGTTAAAGAATTCAGAAAAAAATATGTAGTAGTTGTATTAAAACCAGGGCAGTAGATGGGGGGGGACAAATGGGTCTGTTGTCCTGGGCCCTAGGGTTTTAGGAGCCCAGAACTGGACTCTCTTCCTATTAAATTATATTAGGGGGGCTTCTTGACCTGGGCCCCCAAATTACTGTTGACTGGCCTGATTAAAACTGATGTGAGGATATATGTTAATCCAATTCGATGCAATCAAAGCATTTATTCAGCTCCCCATATGATGAACCCCACTGTATTTAAACTGATTCATTCTATTGGATGAAAATAAACCTGGCACATTCTTGTTGTTGCATTCCACTATTTTTTCCTCTTCTCTACAGTTTACACAAGAGTGCAATGGGTGACAAAAACACTTAAAAAAGAGCAACAATTGTTTTTCTTTTTTTTCTTTTTTTTTTTAAGTTCACAGTTCTGTCTTTGGCTGTCTTTGTGTGAACCCAGTGTTAAAACTGCACAACATTGTGATATAGCCCAAAATTGGAACTTTCAGATAAGGCCTCACATTTTACACAGGTAGCAGATTTGAATTTAAACGTGCCCTGTGTAACATCACCTGCTTGTTTCCATGGATATGTCATTGCTCTTCCTGGAATGTTCCAAAGTATGACATTAAACAGTGCAAAGCTTTGGGGGCAGGAGTGCTACTTGGATATGCAAAAAATGTGCAGAATTGTCCTTTTGGTGCTCTTCAGTGTAGGGACCAGTCTCAAATACAAAGTAGGAAAAAATAATTAAGAACCTTTGTGCCTCAGTTTTTTTTCCTACTTTGTATGACATTAAACAGGTCAGCTTTACATTTATTCAATTACAGGTGGTTTTATAGCTCAAAAATACCTAGAAAAACAGACATTCTGACTGTGAGCAGGGTTGCCTCTCCACGGGTCTGACCGGTAACTTGGTCTGATTTGGTCTCCATGGTGATAGAAAGGTTTAATAACATACTGTGAAACATTCCAGACAAAGCATTAACATTGCATGGATAAAAGCATTTTATGAGCCCTCCACCAGAAAAGTTACACAATGCACCTTTAAAATGATTGTACGTTCTCACACATATACATATTTCATATTTTTCATCCTTGGGGCTTGGAGGATTCAGCTCAGACAAATAGAGAATATTGTCTTATTAACACATTTGTCATGTGTGTTATCTAATGTGACATCTGCAGCCTGTCCTCACCCACCCTCATGTTGATCAAAAGCCTTGAAGATTTAACAAGCATTGACTCAAACCAATTGACTACAACAGATCTGTTTACACTCTCCTTGATTGTTAGCTTGATATTGCGTTGAGAACAATAACAGAAGCGCTCCATTGCTGCCAAAACCCTTTGTAAATAATTCATCCACAACAATTATTAGAGACACCTCATTATGTGGAAATGACTCAAGGCTGAATGTGTGGAAACGCGAGCAAAGGCGAGTGAGGAGTGCTACATTAATTGGGAACGGGATTCATAGCATGTTGGTTATAATTGTATAGACATTTTGACATAGGATGTATTTGTGTGTGTGTGGAACATATACACTGTTTTTATTTTATGACTGTGCTCAAAGAATTGGTGGTTTTCAGATCCTACAATGTAATGATGCCATATTCCCAGATGGAGGGCAAAAGCAACTTTTCCCTTGTGATTACATTTTATTTTATTATAAAATATCCAAAAGGTAAATTCACACATGTTGAACCTGATCATTTCTGTTAGTGAATAGACTCAAGCTCTCAGTGTATTACAAGAAGAATCTACCTTTGAAGAGTATTAATTTTAGCTGACCCCATCTGTATTAAATATTGTGCATGGGAACTGTGGTGAAATACAAGTCCAAGCAAAATGCTGTAATACCTGTTTCACATAGCAACAATATGGAAAAATAAAAGTTGTTGCTAACTATGCAATTTTTTTTACAGTTTGATACGATGTAATGACAATAATTCACTTTGTTGTATTGATTTAATGGTCATCACATGCACAAGACAGTTGCAATAATACAATATTCCTTAAAGAGCCCATATTCCTGTGTTTTCTAATGTTATTATGTTTCCTCATCAAAAACATACTCAGGGTTGTGCTTTGTTTCATTTCCATATGTTTAACACACAAATCCTGCATATTTAGGCTGAGTTCTTCTCTCACCTTGTGATGTCATGTGGTAATAGAGGAAGTGCTCCATGTTTTTAATTTCCGCATGCCTTTACTAGACTCATGTGGATGATTTCAGACTTGAAGTTTTTCTACTAAAGGTAAGGTAACTGCTGATTTGCAAACTACAGCTTTGTAACATCACAAGGTGTTAGAGTATTTTGAGCTCTGGAGATGTAGACAGACTAATAATAAAAGATTACTTAAATATGTGTGTATGTGAATGAAACAAAACACAACTCCAGGTATGTTTTTGATGAGCTAACATCATTATAACATGGCTTAAAGCTCACAAGGAACTATTTTGTGTAATATTGGACCTTTAAATTCAAAGTCTTAAGCTTACAACAAAAATTCATTTTCTAACAATTAATGTCTTTAATCAAACAGTAGCTAAATCCCCCGATGAGTCTGCTTGATGTGTATTTTGTTAAACAGCACATTTAACTTCAGATGATGGATCAGAGCCTGGTCTTACTTCGCTTAAAAGACTTCCCTGTCTCCCTGCATATTCTCTGTGGATTCTGTTTAAATTTAATCCAATACTACACAATATGGGAGCAATGATATTTTAAACTAAATGTGCAGCAGCAAACCCAAAGCTGTCAAAACCAAGTACACTCTACATAGATTCTGTCTGTGACTTTGGTGAAAATATACTTTTCAGGTCCAAATGTAATTCTAGTCCCAGAGCTGCTGTAGTCAATGTACAGAACAGAATCTCCAGGTCTGCGACTCTCCATAAAACGGAAACAGGAGCAGATGATATGAAGAAGGGCACTATTTCTGTACAAAAATGTGTCCAACAAGGCAGAGGAAGTGAAAGGCACAGTTGGAAAGACGACCGTCATAGTTTCTTAATCTAAAATCCTTTGATAATCTGGATAGGAACTGATCGTATTCTATTCAAGACTGTGTTTTTGGCCATTGTAAAATATATTAATAACATCAATTTCTCACTGGTGAAAATGTGAGCTTTCTGCATCAGTTTATACATTCACAGTCCTTTGGCACATTAAACATAGACTGTTTTTTACTTACAAAGGAATATGTCTTTTTAAATGGAAAAATTATATCTTTGTGGTTTTCTACTACAGAGAAGGCCAGGGTCCAAGGGAGAAACAGTCTTGGGAACTGAGCGCAGTGCAGAAGATGGGTCAAACACTTCTAACACACATTAATGCAACAGTCATATTTCATACTCAACAGTCTAAACTGCAGTTTCAGAGAAATTTGAGCATACAAACACTGTAGTAAATGACAGTAAGTTATAAAAAAAAGACAATTGCTAGTCACAAGTTGGGTTAACTAGTATGGGGTGTATTTGTATGATTGTGCAGCTGATTTGACCGGGCTGCTGACTATTCATGAACATCATCAGTCCTTTCCCCATGATCCCTTGCTGTTTTTCTGTGCAGGTGTAAGCAGCTGACGTACCCCGAGGACCTGCCTCAGATCTCCGTGGTGTTCATCTTTGTGAATGAGGCTCTGTCTGTGATTCTGCGCTCCGTCCACAGTGTCGTCAACCACACACCTGCTCACCTGCTCAAAGAGATCATCCTGGTCGATGACAACAGTGACAGTGGTAAGAGGATTTTGAGGATTTTTTTTCCCCCATGTATTTAGACTTACACTTATAGACTTAGACAAACTTTACTGATCCACAAGGGAAATTACTTAGACACAGTAGCTCATACATCACAATATAAATGGAGAAGAAATATAAATGGTAATAACTTTTAAATAAATAGTAAATATGGCAAGAGACTGGCATCAAATAAGGCATAATTTTTTAAATGTATATGCACAAGTAAAGTAAAAAAAAAACAGAAATATATTAATATAAATACAGTATATCACAGTTATATACAAATACAAGGCAAAACAGTGCAAAGACGATGATGTTGTGCAGTTGTATGGAGTATGGCATGTATGTCTCTGTATCTCTCACTGTTTGAGTGGAGCTGTCGGAGCCTGTTGGACAATGAGCTCCTTTGAGATATATTTTACATAACTGGCTCTTGATGTCAAAATATGTCCACTATGGGCTGTCCACATCAAGTTAGAAAGCAGTTTATTGCCCTATAAACAGGAAGTGTGAGTTAGAATGCTAGTTGTTGTTACACAGTAAAAACTGGTCTGTTGAGATTTGTGACAAGAGCTTATACACTCATTGGGAATAGTCAGAATGCCCAGAATGCCTAAGGTAAATGAGGAATAACTTTGGACCACTACAAATTCTTCAAAATGGTTTTAAGACATGTATATTGCTGTGAATATTAGGCCATCTTGGGACAATGGGAAGTGAACAATACATCTTTACTCTGGAAGGATGAGCTAGTTTTGTCTAGATAACTCAGAAAATGCCTCATTGCCGTTGTCAGTGATAAATTTCATAGACTAGAAAGGTGCTTCAGTGACACCGTGCAAGTTGAAACAATGAACAACAATAGCAAAAATTATAAACCATGGTAAAATAAAAAGCATTTCATTAAATATAAATACAAATACACAAGCACAACATCGCCCAGACATCCATACTCCAACTCAAATGTCATAGTCTGATATGTAGAAGGGCTCGTTTTGTTTTATCTTTTTAATATAGCCATACCAGCTTGTAAAAACCCGATCCTGTCAGATCTCTGAAGCTAAGCAAGACTGGGCCCGGTTAGTACTTGAACGGGAGACCGCTGGGAAAATTGGTTGCCACAGGGGGGGCGTCATTGTGTCCTTAGGCAAGACACTTCACCGACATTGCCTGGTAATAAACTGGTGAGTGCGTGACTGTTGGTGGTGGTTGGCAGCCTCACTTCCGCCAGTCTGCCCCAGGGAAGTTTTGGCTACAACCGAGTGTGGAGTGAATGAATAATGATCTGTAAAGCTTCTCTGTGACATATGTCAGTGAAAAGCACTATATAAATAAAAACTTACTTGCTTACATTTTGCGGTAGCTAACAAAATTGTGGATATGATACTTTATTCTGTAAAATGCCTTGACAATCCTTAATCCAAAGAAGTAAGATTTAAAAGTGCTTATAACATTTATTTCTTCATGTAGTCTGCAGTGAAATGGAGCAAAGGATTATGGTCTATACAGTTCCCTCAGTTTTTTTGTTTTTTTTAGCCATTGCTGCACCACAACTATTCATTTATTAAGTGACATATAATCCGACATATTGTGATGGTCCACAATATTATTATGAGACCTTTTGATGATAAAAATATTACGATATTTAAGTTATTGTTACATCCCTAATGTACATATGCATAGGTGGAATTGTTATGTTGTTGGTGCATTGGTGGATTTTTATGACTCAAGCTGAACTGGCCCAGTTTATTTTAAGCTCAGTATTTCACTATGCTTTTTCATCTTCAAAGCTTGCTGTCAATATCGCAGCATTACAAACGCCTATTAAGCAAAACCAGCATCATGTTTGTGTAGTTGTGCGTCTAACGTCTGAACTGATAGATGATTTAAAGATACCAGAGGGATCACTGGCTCCTCCGCTCTGCTGCACTTTGAACCTCAGCGTTTAAGCAGGTGATGGTGTGATGTGGCGCCTCACCGGAGCACACGTGGGCTTATCTTTATGAAGAACATTTATAAAGATGGAGGACCCCTGAGGGCAAATGCACACACCTGCCTTTAAAGCCGATTATAAACCCAGAGAGAAGCAGAGGAGGGATTCACTGTGGTTATCTCTGCTGCCGCATACAACTGTCTCCATGGTGATGGGGTAGGAGGCTGGAGATAGGTCTTTACTCTGATGCCCACTATAGCTGACAGTGCTAATTCTGTGGCCTTGTTTAGTGGGTATTCTTGGTGGCACAGTATGGTGTTAAAGGAGCACTATGTAACTTTTCTAGTGGAGGTTCCGCCAATTCCTTGTCTCTAGGGAGATATTTGTACTTTGCCAGAAGGATAGCTATTATACTACTACTGCTGTTACTATGACATGCTTGCTCCCATGTAGTTGGATAAATGTAATGCCATACTGTGGAACATTCTAGGCAAAGCTATAAGATCTATCAGGGCACTGTTCCTCCACTGAAAAGTACACCTTTAAGAGTGTTGAAAGATGACAGTTTTTTGACACCATGACTAAAATGCCACCTCTTTAAGGTGTAATGTAGTTGGCACCTTTCAAGCTAGGTCTAGATTATGGTCAGGACAACCTGCTTTGTCTTTTTATGATGATGGCTTCAGATATCTTGAAATGTTTATCTGTTTTTGACCACTTTTGATACTTACTTTCAACTTTCGCCTGCAAAAGCAAGGATAATGCCTTTTTGACGTAGTTATCTGGTTTTGTCTATATGCCACTTACCAATGTGTTTATATGAGGAGATATGTGCTTTATTCTTGTCAGCGGTTGAATATTATTAGATTTGACATATTTGTACAGAATCCTCATCACTCTTCACTAAAATTTCAGCCTTGGCTCCACATCTGGCACAGATTCAGACCCCCCTCTCACCGTAGACCATCAGAGAGTCCAGTAAAATTACATGGTGTTGCTGGAGTGAGTAGTCACCAATGGCAGATCCACGCTCCCCGCTGTGGCTCTAAAAGGCTACCATTAAGCAAAGAGCCAGCAACAAAAGGCTTTACGTCACTCCGGGATTTCTTTTAGTGAATTCTGAAGGACACTGTGTGGTCCATTAGTCTGGCTCAAAATACTTGTTTCACCAAAAAATCTTTTGTATATGGAAAAAAATGTTGTATCTGGAAATTATTAGAAGTGCATACGTAAAACCTGAAAAGACCACAAATTCCTTTAATTTTTACTCTACTGATCAACATTTTTTGTCATGAGATTATCATAAGATTGTTGCATCTGAGAACTATTTAAATACAGACATATTGCACTAAAAACAATACTAAAGTCATTTGGTTAAAAAGCTAACTTAGTAAAACTATGTAGCCTGTGTATTGTTTAAATGTACCTTTTATTATCACTGTGGAACAGCACGTAGCAGCAGTAGCACTTACAAGTGTCTGGCAATTACTGGAAGTCACAATTCACTGCCCCTCAAAAACTCCCAAGTCATTACCCAGTCCAGGAAAAGAGCTCTAAACTCCAGTCCGCATCTAGACTTCATTCCATCCCTGACTTTACTGAATGTCCCTGAATGACCCCTGGCTCTGTGTTTACTAACCCTGATGATGATGATAGGTGCAGATGTGAGAGCTGTTTGTCCTCTTCTCCTTCACACATTACACTATTAACATGCAGACAGGACTGTTGACCTTTTCTACATGTCTGTCTGTCTGCTCTCATTTAGACCAGGCTAATTCAGAGCTACTACCCACACACACACGCACACACACAAGCACACGCACACATGCACACACTGACACAGACAGTATCATGGTGACTCAACAGGAAGCAGCCCACTGTCACCACACCACACCACACATTTCTGGGCTCAAACAGACGTTGACATTTATTAGTGCCCCAGAGCTTTATTCATGCAACAGGCAGCAGCTGATGGCCGAGCTAGAGCCATAACACTGGTGGACTAGACTGCCCAGTCCACCATCTTGCAATTGGTATGAGTCAGTTAGTATTGCATTAAAAACTGTACTGTATAAAAAAATAATAATAATAATAATTATTATTATTATTTACAATTTATTTATATGTGTATATGTATATATATGTGTATATAATATATATATATATATATGTGTGTGTGTGTGTGTGTGTGTGATATATATATATATATATATATATATATATATATATATATATATATATATATATATATATATATATATATATATATATATATATATATATATATATATGGGTCCCCGGGGCCTCCTCCCAGTGGGACATGCCCGGAACACCTCCTGAGGGAGGCACCCAGGAGGCATCCGGAACAGATGCCCGAGCCACCTCAACTGGCTCCTCTCGACGTGGAGGAGCAGCAGCTCTACTCCGAGCTCCTCCCGTGTGACTGAGCTCCTCACCCTATCTCTAAGGGAGCGCCCAGCCTAACTGCGTAGGAAACTCATTTCGAGCACTTTTATCCGCGATCTCGTCCTTTCGGTCACTACACAAAGCTCATGACCATAGGTGAGAGTAGGAACGAAGACTGACCGGTAAATCGAGAGCTTCGCCTTTCGGCTCAGCTCCCGCTTCACCACAACGGTCCGATACAGCGACCGCATCACTGCTGAAGCTGCACCGATCCGCCTGTCAAGCTCATGTTCCGCCCTTCCCTCACTCGTGAACAAGACCCCGAGATACTTGAACTCCTCCACTTGAGGCAAAGACTCCCCCACCCACCTGGAGAGGGCAAGCCACCTTTTTCCGGTCTATATATATATATATCTATATATCTATATATATATATATATATATATATATATGTGTGTGTGTGTGTGTGTGTGTGTGTATATATATATATATATATATATATATATATATATATAAATTGCAAGTTTGAGAAGGCACATCATCAAATTCCAAAGGCTGCATTATGTAGATAAGAGATTGTCCTCTGCAAAACATATAATATCCTGTCTTTTTATAGAAAAACGTTATTTGCATTGTGCACTCTGAACTAAATATGGCA